CACTATCAAGAAGTTTCTATTCAATGTTACAGAGGGCGATGATTAAAGTCTCCCATATATTGTAAGGGGAGCTAAGTCTCTTTCGTAATCTCAGGACATGCTATTTTTTATTGAATCTGGCTGCTCTGGTAATTCTTTATCTTCAACTTGATGGGCGATGCCGGGAGAATTATAGTTTATAGTTAGCTCTTCCTGTTGAATTGATTCCCTTTACGCACATTCTATGCTACAGTGCCCCTCTTTGTATCTTTGATCTTGATGGTTTAAAGTCTGTTTTAATCAAGAGACGGAGTAGTTGCAATCCCCTGCATTTTTTGTCTCCATTTGCTTGGTAACTTCCCCATCCCTCTTACTTATTAATGAAAGCCGTGTGTGGTACTTGCATTGTAGATGGTGCTCCTGAAACACGCATATATCTGATGGTCACCTCAAAACATCGTATAGGCAGTGAGCCAGCTCTCCGTGTCTTGATCCTAATACGGAGCTGATTATATCCATTTACATTTACAGGTTAATTTTGTGTAGTGTTATGACCTGCCAATTTATATATAACTGGTTACTTTATTTGGCTCGTATTTTGTATTTGCCTGTTCGTCCTGAGCCTTCGACTTGGTCTTCACATTGGATTAGTTTTGCAATGGCTGTACCATCAGGGTTGTTCCTTCCATTGTTTGAAGTGCTTCCTTCAGGTCCTCTCTGAAGGCAGGCTGGTGCGACAAATCCTCTAAGCATTTGACTTAATCTGTAAAGTATTTAAACATTTCTCCTTCACTGCAGGAAACTAGTTTTGGCTGAGACATGAAATTCGGGTTTAAATATGCTTTTCTTTAAGAATGTGATATCACTTACCGGCCCCCGCACTCTCTATCTGACTTGTAGAGTTTAACTGCCGGAGAGATCTCGTATGAATGATGGCGCCTTCCTTTGTGAGGGTAACCGACCTTATCTCTCTGGCTGCCTTAAGATTTTTTCCTTCATTTCAACCTTTGTGAGATCTGGCACATTAATTGTTCCTTGGAGTTCCGCTTCGTATTCCCCCGGGAGGAGTATCTGTTTGTTCATTCTCTGTCATTTCCTTGAATTTGAATGTAAGGCCTGCCCTACACTAGGTTGGGGAGTCCCTGGCATGATTCCTGAAGAGTGTTTCCAACTTGTTCATTTCATCCCCCTCCTTTTCACGCACCCCCATCAGGAACGTAGATATTTTGTCTTTTACATATCGCCATACTTCTTGACATGGCTTTGTTCAATTTTCTTCTTCCGTTTTTCTTAGATTTCTTCTAGCTTCCATTTCTTCATTTGACCCTCAATCGCTGATACGCTGTCTTTCTTCCAGTTGATCGAGTGGTTTACTGACAGCTTGTGCATTGTCCACTTATCTTCCTCACTGTCGATGGTTTCCTTTCTTTCATTCGTCTTTGCCTTCTCTGCATTAATTATTCTAGTATCTATCATCTTCCACCTCTTTTCAAGATTTTTAGTTCTTTGCGGCTGGCTACGTAATTCTCCTTTAGCTCTGAGAAGTTTGATGGACTGAAGTCGTCTTCTCTCCACTGCGTCACAACGTCATTCTCGCGTCCAGCCTTTGATTCCGTTGCTGGCATACTGCGTTCCTTTGCATGGGGAGAGATGCGCTCACTTAATTTTTCCGTGAATTTCCAGCTTTCTGCCACTGCCTTTCTCCATCTTGTGGTTTTATCTGCCTCCTTGGTCTTTGATGAATGGGTGACATTAACTGATGGGGTTTGGTGTGAGTATCCTCTCCTGTCTGTTAGTCTTTCCCTTCTAACAGTCAGGACCCTCATGTGGTCTGTTGAGATTGGCTTGAGTCCACTGCCAGACGCCTGTTGCCTGGGTAACCAGCAACAGAGGCTGCAGAAGATAGAATACTGCCTTGAACAGCGAGTTACCTGTCTGATTCTTGCTTGGAACTTTCCTAGGGGGTACTCCCACGTGTGAGGTGTGGGTGTCGGTCTGCCCCTAGTGGGGGATGTTCCCAGTAGGCTAACTCAGGGCGTCAGGGCCCACTGAGCAGGCAGTCTGTCTATTCTCAGATCGTCAAACCTCTGTGTTGGAGAGATCCACTGCTCTCTTAAAGCGTCAGACAGAGCGTTGTGCTGCAGAAGGTTTCTGCTGCTTTTGTTGTTGGTTCGTTGTTTGTTTAGCTGTCCGCTGTCCCCAGATGGAGTCCTAACAGAGACACGACAGACCTCCTTGGACTGCTGTGAGCTCCACCCAGTCGGCTCCCAGCGCATTTGTCGTTACCTACTTAACACCTCAGCAAAAGGCGGGCGCCCCTCCCCAGTCCGGCTGCCTGCCTTGGCATGTACATGGCATGACCTGCTGACCTGGGCCAATGAGGGAGTGCCCCCTGCGGGCCGTGGGACCCCTCTCGGCCAGGTGGGGATATAGTCCTCCTGGTGTGCCGGTTGCTAAGACCCTTGTAAAGCGCAGTATTGGGGTGGGAGTTACCCGATTTTCCAGGTGTTGTGTGTCTCAGTTCCCCTGGCTAGAAAAGGATTCCCTTCCACCCTTGCCCTGCTTCCCCAGGGAGGCGAGTGCCCACCGGCTGTTAGCTCTCGCTGGTTGGAGCTGCGCAGCGACCCAGCACCGAGCCGGTCAATTCCTAAGTCCAGGACCAGATGGATTCACAGCTGAATTCTACCAGAGGTACAAGGAGGAGCTGCTACCATTCCTTCTGAAACTATTCCAATTAATAGAAAAAGAGGGAATCCTCCCTAACTCATTTTACGAGGCCAACATTATCCTGATACCAAAGCCTGGCAGAGACACAATAAAAAAAGAGAATTTCAGACCAATATCCCTGATGAACATCGATGCAAAAATCCTCAATAAAATACTGGCAAACCAGATCCAGCAGCACAAAAAAAGGTTATCCACCATGATCAAGTGGGCTTCACCCCTGGGATGCAAAGCTGGTTCAACATACACAAATCAATAAACGTAATCCAGCATATAAACAGAACCAAAGACAAGAACCACATGATTATCTCAATAGATGCAGAAACAGCCTTCGACAAAATTCAACAGCCCTTCATGCTAAAAACTCTCAATAAACTCGGTATTGATGGAACGTATCTCAAAACATAAGACCTATTTATGACAAACCCACAGCCAATATCATACTGAATGGGCAAAAACTGGAA